TGTAAGAGTTGTGTAGTTGGTTACTGTCTTCGCCGTCCCGATTACCGTCGCCGCTGCGACACTCCAGGCTAACTTTCCTGGCATAAAACGAATAGCACAGATCAGAACTATTGTCACAAAGCTTACTGACGCTGTCCCAAAAGTCTTCCCCTGAAACATAGATTGTGCCACGTTTCAGTGTTGCAAACAAAATGAAGATGAAAATATTTATGATTATTGGGACCTTTTGTCTAAACTTTTCCAAGAATAAGTGGTTTAAAGCTAGAAGAGTCTAGATCCCATATTACTTTCAATTCCCTTTTTTTTCAATGGCCTCCTTCGGGAGCTTGTTGAGCTGGTCAAATGCCACCAGTTAGAAAGGGAAAATAAAAACACCTCGCAGTTAGCCACTCTAGCCAATAAGCTGTCTCAAACTATTAAACAGCAGGCTGGGAAAGCTGAGAAGAAAACTAAAGATAAAATCAATTTATGGCCCTGCAATTACAGCAGATACAGACCCAGCCTCAAAATAATTTCCCCACACAAAACAGGTTCACCAGACATATGTCTAAGACTGGGCCAAGTGACTTGCCCCTTGTTTGTTACCACTGTCAGAAACCTGGACTTTTTAAAAGATAATGTTTAAAACTAAAAAATAAACTGGGCCACCTAACACTAGATGTAGCCCAGAAGCAAATAGAAGGAAGGAGATCCAAGCACAGAACACGGGCTTTTCCTATGGGAACACTAAACTCTCAGGGAGAAATTTCTATTCCAATGAATTAAGAACCATGTAAATTTTTTTTATTTTACTTTTTTATTGTACTTTAGATGGAAGTTTACAGAACAAACTAGTTTCTCATTAAACAGTTAGTACACATACTGTTTTAAGACATTGGTTAACAACCCCACCGCATGTCAACATGCTCGCTTCTCCACCTTGGGTTCCCTATTACCAGCTTTCCTGTCCCCTCCTGCCTTCTAGTCCTTGCCCCTGGGTGGTGTGCCTGTGTCGCCTTGTTTTGTTTTATGGGCCTGTCTAATCTTTAGCTGAAGGGTAAACTTCCGGACTGATTTCGTTACTGAGCTAAAAGAGGGTTCGGGGAACATACTCTTGGGGTTTCTCCAGTCTCTGTCAGGCCAGTAAGTCTGGTCTTTTTTTGTGAGTTAGAATTTTGTTCTACAACAGGATAGATCTTGAAATGTTCTTTTTGATGATGAATGTGACGCCATTCCTCTTCAATTTGTCATTCCTGGCATAGTAGATCATATGATTGTCTGATTTTAAATGGCCAATACAAGTCCATTTCAGCTCACTAATGCCTAGGATATCGATCTTCATGTGTTCTATTTCATTTCTGATGACTTCCAATTTTCCTAGATTAATACTTTGTACATTCCACGTTCAGATTATTAATGGATATTTGCAGCTGTTTCTTCTCATTTTGATTCTCGCTATTCATAAGGTTTTCACTGGTCAATCTTTTCACAAGTAGATGGCCAGGTCCTTCTTCTTAGTCTGTCTTATTGTGAAAGCTCTGCTGAAACCTGTCCACCAAGGGTGACCCTGCTGGTATTTGAACTACCGGCGGCAAAGTTTCCAGTATCACAGCAACACGCAAGCCACCACACCACGACAAACTGACAGATGCATGGTGGAAGTGAGTCATAGTTCAGGGCGATTGAGGGTTTACATCCTGCATTTGTTCTCTTCTTTTTTTTAATTGTACTTCAGGTGAAGGCTTACAGAACAAATAGTTTCTCATAAAACAGTAGTACATATGTTGTTTTATAACATTGGTTAACAACCCCACAACATA